ATCCATGCTGACTACTCTTGAGCACCTTCTTGTCCTCCATGTGCCTGGAGACAACGGCCAGTAGGAGCCGTTCCGTCACTTTTCCGGGGACGGAGGTGAGGCTCACCGGCCCGTTGTTGCCTGGGTCCTCCTTCTTGCCTTTTTTGAAGACTGATGTAACATTGGCTTTCTTGAAGTCCCCCGGCACCTCCCCCGTTCTCCAGGATCTTACAAAGATGATGGAGAGCGGCTTAGCTATGGCATCTGCCAGCTCACGCAGCACTCTGGGGTAGACCTGAAAGACCTTAAGACCCGAAATGAGAATGGCTTGGAAGGATGGAGATCAAACAGGCTGTGAGACAAAGCGTGTGGTCATTGCTTGCACCAGCAAGCTTGAGGACAAGGGTGTCCCAGAGGTTGGACCAGCAGAAAGCGGGGCTGAGCCAGTGCACTAGCACATACATGGTCACTGGTTTGAGCGCTACCACCAGTCACATTCCTTACTCAGCACCTGAAGTCACAAACGTGTCTGTACAGGACTGGAGTCAGTCTGGGCTGTGCACTAAAAGAAAGCTCTTCAGGACAGGCTATCTGTCTCTCTCTCTCCCTCTTGGACAAGCTTTGAAGAAAGTAAATTTGTTCTTTTCCTAGATGTGCCCTGCAGGAAATGAGCTACAATCTTCTATCTGACAAAATCCTGGAGTGCAAGAATATTTCCTACCATTTTTTGGCTTGCTTACAGTAGCAAGCAGAATCATCATTAAGAATGGGGCTTCACATGGTCCATACTGTAGGTCTCCATACCGGCTATACCTTGAAAGAACAAACTGACTGACATCAGCCCCTTATACAATATTGCAACTGCACCATCCTCAAAGCACTGACCCCCGTAAAATGGAGCGGTTTCTTGAACACGGAGGAAATGCAGAAGGGCTCAAAGTAAAATACAACAAACTCCCATAAACTCCAAGTAATGACACCGCTTAATAGCCTGATCAAAGAGAAGGCCAGAAAGTTAATTGTGTATTTCTTCCTTGCAAGGAAGAATTTCTGCTCAAGCTCCTGATATTTATACAGTGATTGATTGTGATATTCTGGTACTGAGCCTGGAGGTTCTGGGGGCCTGGCAGAATATATGGGGACAGAGCATGGTCACTACAAACACATATAACCAGATTCTTGCCCTGATGCCACGTCTGCTTTGCAGAGTTCTATTTGCCCACCAAAGGAACGATCATCCTCTACTATAAATTTTTTTTTTCCAGGAATCCTGTAAGAAGCAGCAATGGATTCGTTTGTGATCTATTGCACATGCATTCACTGCCCATACTGCTGTGCCAGGACACACAAGGTTCAGACTCCTGTTTTCTCACGGAAAAGAGCCTGGAAATTGCTCAAGCTGAATTTAAAATGGAAATTCGATAGCACATGGAACTGGGAGAAAAGAAAAGAAAAAAGAGAGAGAGAGAGGGAAACACACACTCACTGCAGAATGCAAAATTTGCTTTAAATTAAAAAAAAAAAAGCTGAAATGACAAAGTGAAATATTTTTGCCTTCATGGATGAAATACTTTGAAGGTGGTTCAGAATGTGGGCAACACGGGTGCCTCTTGGGACTTACTTTCGAGGTGCCCATATTCTCCTTGCAAGGCTCCTGGGCCAGGCTACAGATGCCCACGGTGCTCCCAGAGCAAATATCTTTGGAGACGTGGCCAAGGCACCTGGAAAGCACCTCTTTGGCGAGGGAATCCTGCTACTTCAACTGCACAGAATATTTTTATTTGCTTCAGTTTTCCAGGTGGGTTTTCCTGACCAGCTCTAGTAGACCATTTAGTAAATCTCTGAATACTGGACTATTACTTCTCAGCACGACGAAAGGTTGAGACTGGAAAATTCCCTGGAAAAGTGGCATTTCACCCATTTCTCCAGGAGCATGCGATTAGGAGGACCAGCATGCCAGCACTTGTAGCTAGATTTCTACAAAAGGACTATAATGACTCCTGCAGCTACTCACGCTTTGGAAACTGCATCCCATACAATCTGGCCAAGAGCCACTTTTAAACTTGCCTTCTATGATCAACACAAATGTTCAGGTAGGCTTCACCTGAATCTCCATCATTTTATACAGATCTTCATTTTATTGCACTTATCACTGCTGAGATTAAATTCCAGTCTCATTTCTCTTCCTACACAAGTTCATGTCCCTTCTGCCTGCTCCTTTTTCTGCTACATCTTTAAGGGACCCCAACATTCTATGGTATTTAGGGAGAACATATCGCTGATGCCATCAGCCCCTTAGCATTTTGTGTATCATTTTCTGTGCCCTTCTACCGAAGCTTTTCAGGTTCAGTAGAACAGATGTCTTTTTTGAGGTGTCCTTGATAACTCCTAGCTTTTTTCCTGAGAGGTTGTAACTAATTCAGAAGTAATGAGTGTATGCAAGTAGTTTAAACTGTTCCTTCAGATGTGCACTACCTCATCCTTCTGTATTATGACTTTCCTCTTATCATTGGTAACAACTCCCTGTTTCTGCCTGGCCCTTCAGAAGGGGTTCTCAGAATTAGGAGGATTTGACCAACCTAAATATTACTGAGTCATCATCCAAATTTGACACCTATTATTTACTTCTTCAGCAGGTTATTAGGAGCCCTGTTGAACACCATCCTAGGGCTCAAACCTGCCCCTGCTGCCTTCGATACCACTGTACTGCTGACTTTTCTGGAAGCAAATCAAGCCCCTTAGACTGCTCTGCTGCCTAGACACCTGCAAGGGAAATCCTGAGCGTAGCACGTGAAAATTTCAAAGCAACAACCTGCATTTCCACCTATGGATTAAGTAGCAGCCTTTGCCAGCTGGAAGGCTAGATGGAGTCTTTTGCCTGTTCTGACAGATTTATGTTTTCCTACTTTTCCTCTGAGACTGGCATAAAGAAAAAACTACTTGAGCTAACTAATGGCAAAGCTGACCACAAGAATGGCTGTAATATGCTGAGTAGAAACACACTCTAACCAAAACAAACAAACTTCAAAGTTCACTGTAGCAGCAAGGTAAAAAGGAACTCCAGGGGAAGTAAGAGCTTAAAACTGAAAGCGCTGCTTTTCAGAGCTATTAATGCTGCCTTCAGAAGGTCCTGTAGCATTATACGCTCTGCTGTGTTCCCTGTGTCTCCACCATACCTGGAGCTTACTCTCCATTAGGAAGCATCCTTGGTACCTACCGACTGGGAATCTTTTGTCCGTGTGCAGCAAAGAAAAACCTTGAGCCGCCGTGTCCAGCTGCTGGCTTGCCCTTCTTCCAGGCGATGCCTGTGAGAAATAAAGAAATACCATGAGGCCTATTCTCTTGCACCAGGAGCACACGGACTGAAGCACGTTCTTATTTATGCTGTCTCAGAATAGTCAAGGAGACTTCACCCAGACAAGAGCTTGGCTCATGGTATAGCAAAATAGGGTCATTTCACCTTATTTCACCCAGCCCTCCGGATGGAAGGAGGAAAAACATGCAAAGGTCTCCCTTTTATTTTTTTTAAAAGGTTAAAGAATTCTGAATACAACAGGTTCAACCCACTTCAATTTCAGCTGCAAAATCAGCTAATTGAACAATCTTATTAAAATGGCCTACAGGTGAGTTCACTCCACTGTTGTGAGCTTATCCTTGTAACTACATTTGCAGGGTAATATTACCTTATTTTTGACTGGTCTACCTGCAACCTGCAGCTTCTGTAATGCAGGGACTTCTTTTTAACAGCAACACAGACTAATTTAACATGGGACAGACCGATCAAAGCAAACAAGCAACCAAAAAAATCTTCCGTTCTGCATATGATCCCATAAGGAAAGGACCAAGAACAGAGAGTGAGAAGAAAAAACTGCTATTGAAGAGCACCTACCTGGAAATTAAGATCAAGATTCTGCTGGGCACTCCAGCTACTCACATCTTAACAACAGATGTGGTTTAAGACGACGACGATACATAACCTCCAAGTAAGATTCCAAAACTGGAACAGGAATACGCCTATCCTAAGACAGAATTGCCAAGGATCAGTTTGCTCTACAAATGCTGAAGAACTCGGGCAGCAGAGCTGAAAACTTCACGCAGAGGTTGAGAAAGTAAGCTTGCTTTGAGCTACTTTCATTCCAAGTTCTTCTTTTTTTTCTAACATTGAACTTCCACGTCTAGTATGGGCCTTAAAGCAACTCTCTTAGAAAACTATCAGCAAAATAAGTTGATTTTTTTTTTTGGTTTGGTTTGGTTTTTTAGTCCTGTAAGAGCATAAAAAGCCCACACGTATCAACGTGCCACTAGTAAAGGAAAACAACTGACTAAGCAACTACAAGAGCACCACGAAAAGGAAGCCACCAAATGATGTGCCTTCCTAAGGAGATAAACAAGTCAAGCTCTTTCATGAGTTAAGACAGAGGAAATATAGCTCAAATGTTAAGTGTAACACAAAGTCAGGTTATTGCCATACATCAACAGGGATGTATCACTTCAAACTGAGGATCTCAACAGGAATGGGTGGCCTTCAGCATCTTGCAGGCTCGTGCTCGAGAGACAGGTGGAGAATTTCAAAATATTCCCTTTGGAAATGATAGGACTGAATGGAAAGTAACAGTTGATGTTGCCATTTCACATTATACCCCATAGCATGTTGGTTATTAACATCTGTCAGCACTCCATCTCTACAATGGAAATCCACAAACAGCAGGCACAAGCTCATGGAAATGCTGCAGGCCTGGAGGAGAAATCTGGCCAGGTCCAAAGAGACAAACACCTAGTTTGCTGGGATATCAAAAATCTGCACAGAGAAGATGACTTGGTTGTGTTTTGGTTTACTTTTTAAGCTCTCAGACAAAAAGAACTTTGCAACCTGCAATGCTTTTTCCTCAAGAATATAATGGTTTGAGTCAAAGGGCTCTGTTTTAACACGTTTCCTGGTTGAACAGCATTTTAGCACAGCTTCCTTGTTCAGAATTCCCTGGGAATTACAACACAACAGTTGTACTCATTAGGTAAATGGGGTGCTAATACTAAACACTCAAGACTAGTGTTAGTGCTATATTCAGGTAATCCCATTGCAAGAAGAAACAGGTCTCCTCAACCATATCAGCAATACTTGCTGCACTGTCCCCAGAAAAGCCTGAAGATTTTTCTCTCACAAAGACCATGTGAAGAATCTCATTTCAAAACACCCCTTGAATACAGGTTCCTAAAAAAAAACTGCGTGATTTCTACAAGATTTTTAGAGTCTCATTTCTTCTTTCAAAATGCCCTCGGCCCTACAAGGCCACATTCTTTGCTGACAGCAACATATGTCGGGACTGTGTAAGGAAACAAGGGCTGTTTGTGTTGCCCCAGGGCTTGGGGGGAGGGAGAAACCAAAACCAAACAAAAAACCCCAGCAACAATTAAAAAGCAGCAAATTTCTCAAAAATGCCTTGCTCGGTGGAAAAAAACCTTTCATATCCCCATCTGGGTAGCTCACAAAGATGCAATCAATTCTTAAGTGAAACATCTAACTGCCAACACGATAGAAATTGCTTCTTAGCTAACAATGTATATAAGACATTTCAGGCCAGAAGGTCATATTTGGAAGCAGGTACAAATAAAGGAAGAAAGAGGCTTTGGAAAAAGATCCTGTTTTGACCTAAGTTAAGTCTAAGTGCTACCTCCCTGTACTCGGCAAAACACAATGCCACGGGGTGGACAAACAAGCTGCTGTGACCAGTAACTGTGGCACGAAGGACTTATAAAGATTCACAAATCCCCTGACTAACATGATCCCACCAGATCTCACGTTGCTTTGCCTCCTTTGCAGACAGATGCCCACACAGAGCACCCAGCAGTCTGGACCTGCAGTTCTTCCAAAAGGACCCTCAAGAGCAAAGGGGAGCAGTGCCTGAGGCTGAGTGGTGGCTGAGTGAAGGCAGCAAGGCTGCCAGGAAGCAAAGCAAGCAGGGTGCCCTTGCAGAACCGCTGCTTTACCGCAGGTTGTAGGTCCTCAGGTTGCGCTGCCGGCGCTTCGTGGCACGCAGCTTGACAAAGGTCCGCCCGGTGGGGTCGAAGACGCACAGGACAGTGATGCAGACGCTCAGGATGACGACCCAGTTGCACACGACCATTCCTGCAAAGAAAGAGAAGCAGCGAGGTGCTCTTCTGCACGTCAACAGTGCCCTTGCCATTCTCCTCCACACGTCCCACCCGCATCTCCAGTGCTTCAAGGCAGAGAGGAAGGTCCCCAAATGCAGGCAGCTGCAGCAAAAGAAACTCCACAGGGAAGGCCTCTGACCACAGCTAAGTTTTCCAGCTCTTTTAGGACATTATTCTCACAGAAGAATATAACGGAGTTGTGGAGTACCTACGGCACGAGCATTGGGTGCCCCCAGGAGTCTGACTGAGATTCAAAAGCAATTCTAGGAAAAGAGTAAAGTCAGTGTGAACTAAAGGGCAACAAGGCCTTTCACATTGACAAGGCCGAGCCTTCCACGGAAACATGGATTCTTGTCTGACCATAGACAGCACTCAATAAATAAATAAACAAGCAAACGATAGTTCTGAACTGCAGCATCTCAAGATAACAAACACCCTATTTAAGTGCTGTAATCCACTCCCTGCAGTCAATTCCCAAATTCCCATGTGCAGGACTGGATTTGCTCTCCAGGACAAGCGGATGTCTGGAGCACACAAGGAATGCACACACACACACACACACACACACCACATTCCCAGCACATACCTAAGGTGACACTCTTCGCAGTGACATCGTTGCAGGACGTGTAGTACTGTGTTAGCCAAACAATGCCCACGATGGCATACACAAATTCGATCACCAAGATAGCTGGAACAAACGAAACACAAAGGATAGTAGCAGCTTCTCACCCACGAATAAGAACTGTCCATCCTCATCCTCTGCAGAGGATGCACAAGGACACTGTGCAGAGCACTGACTGTTGGCAACCACATAATTCTCTGCGACAGGTTCTTTACCCTAGCAGGACAGTGGCGCAGAATTAACTACTGAAGAACTGGATGTCAGTGCTTTGGAGGGTAATCTTCAAGAAAATCAGCCAAATAAATGTAATTTCTCCTTCATATTCACTAGTGTGATGAAAGAACCATGTACCTACCGAGCTGCAAGTGCCCTAGGCTGCATCATAGGCATGAATCAGATAGTCACTTCTTCCACCCGCTACAGTAGAAAGATTTCCCTATGTTCCAAGAAACAACATGCAGCCATATCTAGGTCTTGACCACCTCAAACAGCTGGCTGGATTCAAAACAAGATTAAATAATAGGAAGCAGCATATATTCGGGATTCATTCTGCTTACTACACTTTGCAACCTCTGAGAGAACCTCCACCCTCTGCAGTCCCTACAGCAGCAGCTCCCTGGACACAGCCCTCGAGGACACATTTATCGGCTTTTCAGGTCTCCATCGTAGCCTGATAAACAAGAATTTGAGGGTTGACAGTGTCTCAGTGGAAACTACGAAGTTTGGAAACGCTACTTAAAGGTGCTCATAATCACACTCACCCAATGCTTTACAAGCCCAAAGTTTACACGAGCTCCAGAGATGGTCATTAGCTCACTTAGTAATGTATTTGGAACTACTTAAAATGGTACTTAAAATGGACAGTCACATGGACCTTGTCTACTCTAGGGTCACACTCCTATGTCTAGCATAAAAGGGACAATTAAAACACTACAGTTCAAAACAAACACAAATCTACGGAATATAAATATATGTAAGATCCAAGTGTAAATAAAGACTCTGAAGACAGGTATAGTTTAAGGCAGACAAGGATGGTATTCGGGTAGGAAAATGGCCTTCCTTCCCTTGGCCCATTTGGTCTGGTTTTGTCAGAATGTTACTCAAACCACCAGGCTCTACAGGCTTCCCTAGGGAGACTCCAGGATGAGCGAAAAGCGATAAAGATTTGCTTGCTTTTCATGTTAATAAATCTACTTAACACTCAGATCAAAATGTCTCTCAGGCAGAGCTCTCAAGCGAGGGTAGCCGGATTGTAATAAACTCTGCCTGAAAACTACATAGGAAAAACAGAATAGGCCATGAGATGCTTTGTTTGGAGGAGCTTGATTGTCTCTTTACAAGATTTTATAATCAGTCTTCCAAGTTCCCTCTGCCCACCTCCAGAGAAATAAGTAAATAAATAGAGTACAAACAAAAATAACACAACCCTCTATTCAGGAGAGAAAAGTCTGATCACGCTCCTGTACCTGGAAAAAGAGAAAGAGAGGGGGAAAGCCAAAAGAGAAACCATATATGATTTTGATCTAGCTCTTGAAAGTTCAGGCTGGGTGGGTAAGACAGAAACTGTTTTTAGGAGGACAAGAAAAACGCCTAAGAGAGAAGGTGCAGTGAGTGCGCAGGTGGTACCTATTTAACTCACGGGACCTGAAGATGACATTGGTGGATGGACAGGTGCATCACACACGTAAGTTAAGAGGTCAAGGACGTGTCTCAAGGTAGGTGGGTGCAGTCTTAAGTATCCATGTGACATGTGATGACATGCACATGCCACGGAGTGGGAGCTACTGCCACAATATCCAGAGTGTATCCTGTGTTATGGGAAATCTTGTGTTTTCCTATGTCGGAGCAGACGTCTGTTGCAAGGCAAAGGGGAGCGTGTTTTGTCAGAGGGAAGGGATGTACCTGCATCACAATGAGGGTGACAAGTTAAAGGTTCAGTCGGAAGATATTTGGGGCATTGCATTGTCTTACAGCAATGACAGGGTGCAGTATACGTGACGTATTCAGATGCATATCACATACAAGTGGCCATCTGGATGTCTTTCGGGAGCTGTGTGCCTCTCGGGGTGTAGGGAGACAAGTCTTTTGCGACAGCAGGTGGTAACACGGAGGCTGAGTCACTAGCAGGCCTCAGGCCGCTGCCTCTTACCTAGTCTGACATAGAGCACATACTGCATCGAGTCCCGGGGCTCCGTGTACAGGATGCTGCCTCGCATGCTGAGCCAGATGATTGCCACCTCTGCGATCATACAACTGAGCAGGATGCCCAGGTAGCCCCTGCCGTGGTCCACCAGGTTAAGAGAGCAGGTCTCGTTGGGGTTGTACACCAGCCCGAAGAGCACCACGGAGAGGATCACAAACCTGCCGGCCACAAACCAGCTGGTTACCAACAGCAGGCCACACAAAGCTGCAAGTAACAGCCCATGCCCATTCCCACAAGGTTACCGAAGATCCCTGCGCATTCCCTGATAACTAACTCAGCTGCTTACAGCAAATATTAATTTGTTCTGGGACTCTCCTCCCCACAAGCCATGCAGAGGTTTTGCTGCCCTAGTCGGAACAACTTGATGACCTTTGTCATGTTATTCAATAGGATCCACTGCTCCGATCATTTTCCCTGACCACCTGTACAGAAACAAGGCCCCAAATTATTCTGCATAGCACAGGAGGATTCAAGATACTCTAGCCAGAGCTTGTCTCTGACATTGCAACCAGTACTTAAATAGCATAGATCCAAAGGGCCATACAGTGCTGTTTGTCCGAAATGTCCCATGGAAGCCCTCCAACTGCAAGTACAAGCACAGGAAGAATTACAGCTGCAACAAACAGGAGCAGCAAGAATTTGGGAGACCATTCAAACTACCATTCTCTTTAGCACCTGCTCTTCTCGCTTACCAGGTGGTATGAAGGAGGAAAAGAAACACAGCCGGCAAAACAAGGTCATCGCTGCCCACAGACCAGCGCCGGCGGAACACGACAATCCCTGGCATACGCAGTCAAAGACGCTGCTGCTCGCTGGTCCCCACGGTGGAGAGCCATCCGCAGCCACAACCAGGGCCCGGCAGCAGGAGCACACCTGAGAGCTGCGGTATTTTATGCCACAGAGAGCAGAGCTTTCATCCAGCACCAGGGGGCACAGCGTGCTCGAGCAGAGAGCAAAATAAAACTACATAAAATAGTTTAGCCGTCCTTCCCGGTCACATACTGCTGCCAAGGTACTGCACTCATGGCTTGCAACAACTTCCCAAGTTGCATCTCTTAAGGAGTAACTACTCCTCATTCCAAGCGGGTAATTTGCCATTAAGCTCATGGAGGAAAAAATGAATATACTTGTTAAAGGGATGTAAGCTGGGTTTCCATCAACATTTCAGAGGGGGAGTCATCTGTGGTATCTCATGCACCATATATTAACAACTGTAACTTGCATATTACACTGTCTTTCACAAACAAAGCAAAATGTGGAACTGCAACAGCATTTGGATTCCCATCTCCTTAGCACGTAACGCTCAGGGCACTCTGTGCATCGCAGCTTTACCTTCAGACTGGCCTCTCCTCTGGCCGTACGGCACTTACTGTTTGCCTTGCCATGAATAACCCAACTGTCTATGATGTACCACCTGCATGGCAGCACTTGGATGCTGAACACTTGTTTCTTGAACACTTGTATCTTGAATCCTCAGCATATGTGGACATGCTTTTCAGTACATTCATTTACCCTCCTCCTGAGCACTGCGGTACCTCTTGGTCTCCCCTGAATGTCAGTGCACAATTCCCACCATCCCTTGGCTGATGGCTGAATCCCACTGGGGCACTTCCCACAACTCTTCTACCTGTAGCCATGCCAGCAGACGTGCTCCGCCTTTACCACCTTCTCCCAGTTTAAGTAGCAGCATATCTACAAGAACGAATATCTAAAGTAAATTCCTCATCTAGAGCAACAGATGGAAAGAGAGCGGAATCGCCTGTCATTCCCCGTCCCACATGAGAGCAATGGTGGGACTGTCACTCTCGGCAGGTCTTACCAGGTGCCCAGACCACAATAGTTCTCATTAGTTTAATCAATTCTGAACGTGAGCCAGGATGCCTGGCACCTTGCCCCCAGTTTGGAAACAAGAAAGATGATAGAAGGCCTATGACTATAAACCTTGCCCACCCCATCGCCTCCAAAAAAGTTAATCCTCTTAGTGTAAGGACTCCTCAGCTTCATCCCAGCGCACACGATCTTAACAGTTATGTTTTAAGAAACATGGAGACAGGATCTAATATAAGAACAGGGAGGAAAAAGTGCAAGGCTAGAGTGCAAGCAGTCCAGAGGCCCCTATGTTTGCAACAGCAGGGAACTTCCAATGCTGCCTCTAAAATCACTGCACACAAGAGTGAAAACTTGCCAGGTCCTTGAAACCTGAAGCCTGGTGCAAAAAGTGCCAAGCTCCCAACACCCAAAGTAGGGGGAAGCACATGCAGGCAACAAGCTCTGAACACAAGGAGTCCAGGTCCCTGAGCCTCAGATTAGAGTGAGAAATACAGAAAACAAAAACCTTACATGATGTGGTCCAGACGATGCACGTTCTTCTTTCCCGTAAGTGGAAAAGCACTATCCATGGAGGCAGACATCACAAGTGAAGGAGGGAAGAGCAAACTCCTCTTGCAGCCACTGAAAATTCCAGGCAGAAACGGAAAGGAGGACTTGGGGGCTGTCTGCTGACAAAGGCAGGCATTATCCTCCCAGCAAGTCCTTCCCTCCAAGGCAGCAGCCTCATTCCATCAACTGGGGCTGCTCAGAGCGAGCCAGGGGTCGTGACTTCCCCCCTTCCACACCCCCGGCACACTTGGAAGGAAGTGACATCATCCTTGTTCTGAGGAGACTGTCCATGAATTGTGGGAAGGAAGACTGGGAACAAGAGCGGGCGACGCGGTCCGGGCGCCGGGGAGAGCTGCCGGGAGCGGAGGAGCTCTCCGTGCCACGAAACGTCCCCCCCGCCGCCGCCGCCGGGAAGCGGGAGGCAGCGAGGGCGGCAGCAGCACCTCGGGAACGCCGCGGAGCCCGAGCTCGCGCAGGAAGCCCATCTCCGCACGGCAGCAGGGAGCCGGGATGGGAACCGCTGCTCCGTCCTCTGGCACGCGCTGAATGGCCAGGGGGAGGGGATGCGGAGCGGGCACAAAAGGGGCACACAGAAGGGGCCGCCCTGGGCACAGAAAGGAGAGACTGTTCCCAAGGAGCAGCCTCTCGCAGGCCTTTTCAGCCGGTAATTCCCTGTGACACACGACATGCTCTGCGGCTATGACAGGATGTGGGGGAAGGGGGAGATTAGCCGTCTGTAGGGGAAGGCTTAGCGAAAAGAGCAAAGGAGAAGAAAAATGCTGCAGTGAGACAAGATTCCAGCTCAACCGAGGAGACTTAGTTTAATCCAACATCCTCCCATGCCTGTCATTAGCCTCAGAAGACGGCAGAGAGGCAAACGCAGCCGAGCAGAGCCGCGGCCAAAGGGAAAGGGCCCCACGGAGATGTGGTGGGAAGGGACACGAGTCACCGTGCGCTCCCGAGCCAGGAGGGATTCGCCTGCTCCTCACTCCCCACATCCACCCGGCGCTTGCTGCAAAGCTGCCATGATCACGCAGACACCCGAGACACCGCTCCGGCGCCCACGCCGCCCGCTCGCACTGGGAGGTAGGGCCACCAACATGACACAGGCACCGCAAGTGAAACCCACCTCAGCTGCAGCCCACGTAGCCAAAGGCGCCCGTCCCGAGGGCACAGCGTGGACACCGTAGCTCGGCTCAGAAGCCTTGGGAGGAAAACATGGGCACCTCAAAGGGAAGCCTCAAGAGGCGCCAGCGTTGCCCAGGCAGGAACAGGACAACACCTGCATGACCACAAAATTACTTGACCAGAACTGTCCCCTAAAAATGTCTTCTCCCTCCTAGCACGCAGCGTGACTACTGCAAGTACTTGCCTACACATGACACATCGCCCCGCGTCTCCTGGTATCAGGCAGAACATGCTTTGTACCTTATCTGTATGTTTGCATTGCCTCTCCTTCTGAAATTCTTTGTTAGGGTAACAGAAGCTCTCTCCGTCTCTTATAGATGCTAAATGAAGAGTTGTTATACTGAAGTGAATCAAGAAAAAAGCGACAACATTTTAAAATAGCCAGATTTGTCAAATTTGAGCAGCAAGCAAAAGCAAGTCCGATCAGCACAAATAGCCAGATTTGTCAAATTTGAGCAAGCAAAAGCAAGTCCGATCAGCATGCTTAACCATGCCCTTAGTGACCCTCACTTATCTGCTGGTTCATAAAATACCATCTCTGCCCTTAAAATGATCCATCACTAATGCAAAGGGCTCAGTGTCATTAAGGCATCCCCTTCCTGGTCACCCACGTGTCCCTTTTCCTCACAAGCCTGCTCCACACAGGCTCTCTGTCTCAGCTTGGGGCATCCCCACTGCAGCTTACAGCTCCCCATCAAGTGTGTTTTCCTGTGAACATTTCCTGCTCTTGATGGAAATCATCAGTTGGAACTTGGAGCACACTTACTTCACCAGTCCTTAGGCAGCTATTTTTAAGGCCTTAAATGGAGCTCTTCCTGCTTCAGAGCTTGAATTCTTACAATTAGGGAATTGTTCTTCCCTGGCATGGAAAGGAGGGGATGTGACTTCTCTTTTACAGTGTCCTCAAGTTTGCCAGGAGGTATTTACTTGCACTAGAAGTAAGCAGGGGGATAAAGGAAAGAGATGAAGTCGAGATTATGGAAAACTGCCTTTCCAGGATGGGAAGACATCAGAGCATCTCTGTAACAGAGACGGACACCTACCCGACACAGGAGGTGGAAGGGAAGCTCCTAGTATACTAGGGAGAGAATTTCCATCCCAGCAAAGGAGCATCCAAAACAGGGCCACCTTTTGCAAGTGGCAGGATACACGGCGAGTGATACCTGCAAGAATTATAAGCAAAGACTATTACATGTAATATCTAGGAGCTGTATTTACATCCAAGTCACAAATTCTCAACACGGGCATGAAGTTCTGGTACAATCAGTGGGGGCTCTAATTTTGGCATACAACTTTCACACCTATTTTTAAGATCTCCTTTACAATCTCCCATTTTCCAGCCAGAAAAAAATCAGATGAGACATAGTGCTAGAGTCATGAGACTAAGCCACCAGATTTCAGATTTGAGAAAGGAAAGGTTCAAAAAGCCTCTTGCGGCTTGGCATATTTCATCCTCAGCTCCCCCAGGATAAAGCCACTGCACCACAACAATCTTTCTACAATGTCACCATTTCAGAACTAATGTGATTAGGTTAGATCTGGCACTACGATGCTGCCCACTGACACAAATACCCAAAATATATTTTGGAGTAGAAAATGACCTTCAAAACCCTAGAGACAACCACTTACCTATACGCCCATCCAGCTTAAGCTGTAAATGCTGACAAAAAACACATCCTTGGAAGTGGAACAGTGAAGGTCACAAGAATATATCGATAGTAACAAGAACAGACTGGCCAGCTGGCCCAATACACTGGCCCATCTCCAACTCAGCTGATTCTTCCCTAATTTTTCACCAAAGCCCTTTCCTCAAGCTACAGAAACACACTGAGGTGTTTTCTGGGTGCATATGTTCCTTGCTTAAATTCATTCCCTGCACTCTTCACTTACAGGCAAGATGGGGCAGTGGGAGAGCTACAGTGCAAGAAGCTCAAGTGCGGATGCTTCCAGCAGGTACATGCAACTGGAAAAGAACGTCCTGGATGTGACTGTGCTGGGGAAGAACATCCTGGATGTGACTATGGGAGGGTCCTCTTGCACCTCTTGTGAGAAACCTGCAGGCTTGACTACCTCCACGAAATGCCTGTACGCCACTGCACGCAGCATGGGGAATAAACGCTTCCAGATATAGGTTGGTAGAGTTGACGTGACCAGAGTGCTGTCACGGGGGGCTATGTGCAGGCCAGGAAAGCAGATCACAGGTCCTGGTTCTCATGGAGG